ACAGGTTTCTCGACAGGTTTCTCGACAGGTTTCTCGACAGGTTTCTCGACAGGTTTCTCGACAGGTTTCTCGACAGGTTTTTCAACAGGTTTCTCGATAGGCTTTTCAACAGGTTTTTCGACAGGTTTTTCAACAGGTTTCTCGGCAGGTTTTTCAACAGGTTTTTCGGAAAGATTCTCGGCAGGTTTCGCAGCGGATTTCTCGTCGGGTTCTTCCGTGCTCGATCGCTTCTCGAGCCGTTTCTCGAAAGTCCGTTTCGTCTCGGCCGCCACCGCCGCCGCCGCTGCAACCGCAGCCGCTTCTTTCCTGGCCTTCTTTCCTTTACCTTTCGTTCGCTTCTCGGATTCGATTTTCCTCGCGTCCCGCGGCGTCTCCGGCTTCGAGTCTTTCTCTTCGATCGACGTTGCTTCCGGAGCTTCGCCTCGCGACTCGTTCTCTTCGCTCGGCGTTTCCACCGTCGCGACGGTTTCGTTCGTCGTGGACTCGATCGCTCGATCCAATTCGCCGATCGCAGCTTCCTGCTCCTTCTCGATGTCCGTCTTCGACTCTCTCGCCGCTCTCGCTCCGTTCTCGTCGGTCGCGTTATTTCGCGGCTCCGTTTCTACCTTCTCTTCGATCTTTTCGTCCTTCTCTTCCGGTATTTCTTCGACTTTCACGGTCTCGTCTTTCCGTTTCCCTCCAAGATCCTTTCGACTCGATCTCTTCGGCGTCCGACCCTTCGATTTCTCTCGCGCGTTCGCGTCCTTCGCCTTCTCGTCTTCCCCTTCGACGATCTCCTTCGACGTCTTCGATCCGTCTTGCTCCACGGGCTTCTCCGTCGACCCGTCGATCTTCCCGTCGTCTCCGTCTCGAATCACGTCGTCGGCCCGCGGTTCGTCTTTTCCTTCCATCGAACCTTCGACCGCTTTCTCGTTCGCCTTCTCGTTCGCTTTCTCGTTCGCTTTCTCGTTCCGAACTCGAACGATTCCCGCAACTTTCGATTCTTTCGCCTCAACGTCCTCTTCCTTCGCTTCTTCGTCGACGTTAACCAAATTCCTCGTTTCCTCTTTACTCTTCTCGACTTTATCCGGCTTCGCGGCGTCCACGGTTTCGTCTTTCGCCGCGGCAGCTTCCTTCTTTCTCTTTTGCTTCTTCTTCGACCCGGCTTCCTTCCGCGTCTTTTCCTCTTTCGCTTCCACGTTCGCCCGACTCGACTCTACTTTTGCCTCCGCTTTCGCTCCTTCTTCCTTTTCCTCGATCGTCTCGACCTCTTTCAGGGTGATCTCGGTCTTGGTCTCCTCTTTGGCCTTTCGCGTCACCGAGGCCTCCACCGGCGAATCCTTCGACTTGGATTCTATTTTTGGCTCCATCTTCGATTCCACCTTGGATTCCACCTTGGATTCCACCTTGGATTCCACCTTCGATTCGACCTTCGATTTACCTAGTTTTTTTCTGTCGCCAGCTTTCGCGTTCCTCTTCTCGTTATCATCTTTCGCTTTCTCCGGGATCGCGGAGTCTTTCGGCTTGGCCCGGTCCTTGGACTTGTCCCTCTGCCCTCTCCTCTGCTTGCCCATCTCCTCGATTTCCCTCAGAGCCTTCTCGATCTCGTCGTCGACCTTCTCCGGCTTTTTCTTCTTCGCCCTCCGCTTCTTCTCCTGCTGCCCCTCGGCCTGCTCCGCCGTTTCCTCCCGATCCTTCCTGTCCTTTCGATCCTCCTCCTTCTTCTCTCCCGGAGGAACCTCGCCGCTGTTCGCAGGACTCTCCGGCTTCCGTTCGACCTCTCTGGGAGGAGCCCGCTTCTTCTCGGCCACCTTGGCCCTCTCCTTCCGAGGCTTCTCCTTCTTCGGGGCTTCGGCGATCTTTTTGTCGACGGGCGTCGGCGTCGTCGTCGTCGTCGTCGTCGTCGGCTCCGGTCTCCTCTTCGTCTCCTGCTGCTGATTCCTCCTCGGCTCTCTCTTCCTCGTCGTGTCCCACGCGGTCTCCTCCCTCTTCTCCTTCGCCGCCGAGGACTCTCTCGCCGGTCTCTGTCCAGCCTCTCCGGGTGGCGTCGACTCGTGCATCGACGATCCGTTCGAGTTCACGGGCGATCGCGACCTCTCCTTGGCTCGTCTCGCCGCGAAGCCGATCACGGCGGAGGGCGGAGCAGCGGCTGCCGCTCGGGGGCCGAGGCCCTGAGAGAGGATCTGAGCGTAGGAGAACGTCTTGCTCTCGTTCGGCGGCCTCGACTTGGTCGTCTGCGGTGCCTCTTCCGGTCGCGTCGAGGGCTCCTCCGGCCGTTGTTCCGTGCTCTGCGACGAAATCGAAGCCGAAGGCGGTGGCGAAGGCGGAGGCGGAGACGGAGACGAAGGGTCGGCCTCGACCGCCGGAGGAACGTCCGCGGAAGGCGCTGGAGCAGGACCGCGTTTCTCCTCGGCGCGCTGCTCGATCGCCGCGGCCGCGGCGTCTCTCGCCGGGTTCTTCGCTCGCGGCTGCTTCTGATGCTTCGGCGGCGGCTGCTGACCGGGCCGATGGATCTCGGTTCCGGCCTCTGTCTCGGTCACGGTCGCGGTCGCGGTCGCGGTCGCGGTCACGGCCTCGACCTCGGTCTCGGTCCGGGCCTCCGGCAGGTAACTCGGCCGAGCGACATACTGCTCCGACGGGAACGGCATCCGACCGTCGTAACGAGGTAGAGCCACTTGCGGAGGCGGCGCCGCGGGCACGTAGACGTACGAAAGCTCCGGATAGGCGATCTGCGAGCCGATGAAGCCCACCAGCTCGGGCATGGGCGGATGAACGTAGCCGTAGACCTCGGGAACTCGCGTCCCCGCGTCGTAGCTCTTCTCCAGCAGATTGTACTCGTCGAGGGGCTCGTCCGTCCAGCCGACCCGAGCGTCCGGCATCTCTTCCGGCTGGTTCGAGGCAACCGGAACCTCGGGTTGCCCGCGATCGGTCTCCGGACGACCGGCTTCCTCGGGAGCCCGCGACTCTGTCCCGTCATCCTCGACCACGGGCGCATCGGGCGTGTCCGCCTTCCGCCGAGGCGTCTCCGACTCGCCGCCGGCCCTCGCCTCGGCTTCCTTCGGCACCGAATACGCCGGCTTTCTGGTCTCGGCGGACGGACTCCTCGAAGCGCTGGCTCTCCCGCGGAGAATGTCGGCGTACGTGGTGGAGCCGGGCGCCCAGATCGGGCTGGCGGACCGTCCTCGTCTCTCCTCTTTCGGAGCCAAAGCGGCGTTGGTCGGGGCCGGAGGCTCTCCGCCGGCCTCGAAGGCCGGCGTCCTCTCCGGCGGCTGCTCCTTCCTGGCCGTCGGCCTTCCGGCTTGCGGCCGCCGCCTGGATTCGGCGGCGTCCGCCTTGGTCGCGGACGCGACGGTCGCGCGCTGACGGGTCGGTCCAGGCTCGAGATCCTTCTGCTCGGACGCGGCCCGCGGCGTCTCTCGCCGAGTTTCCGAGTCGGCGCTGCGCGGCGGCGGCGGCGAATCGCGGCGGATCGGTCGCTCCGCGATCGGTTTGTGGACGGTGGGCCTCAGCAGCTGGATCGCCAGCGGCGAGGACGACCGGGCCTCCTCTCGCGGGTTTCGGAACGGGCTCGAGCCCCGCGAGCCGGGGCTCGTGCGGCCCGCGGCGATGTCCGCGTACGACACCTGCCCGATCGGCCGCGGCTCGGTGTTTTGCACATAGTTAGGGTCCACGGCGTAAATCTGATTGGTCAGTGTCTTCGCGCGCTGCCTCCAATCGTCCATCCTTTGCTGCAGGCTCTGCTTTATCCGCCACGGAGGAACGGCCAAGGCACAACAATGGAATACACATATGTACGTCAATTTTCTGGGAATCTCGTTTATGTTTGGATTTTTGTATATGTTCGTTTTTCGATCGATTTGCTCGATCGTTTCGATCGGTGGTTCTATCCTGGGGAAAGATGCTCGGGACTCGATGCGTCGCGAACGATGTTAGAG